ATGTGCTACATGGACTAGCCATAGAGGAAGACACAACATACATTTTATTCATTTGCAATGTTACTAATTTTGAGAACTTATGCATTTAAATTGGTATTTAGTCCATCAAAAATGTGACCATTAACTGTCAGACTGAAAGTATGCACTTAATTAATACTTCAGATTCTGCTGAGTTTCTTTCCAAATGTGTGATTAATGCCTAGCAATTCCTGAGTGGTGCTCTGAAAGCTGGCAACAAAGCGAAGAGTAAATAAGCTCCTTGTGCTCTCAGTTTCCCATTCTGCTCCTGTTCGGTAAAGCTGATTATCATCCAAGGCTGGAAGTTTTTAGAGACAGTGGACCGAAGCCAAGTCAGCTCTGTAACAATTGGAAGGGAATGTTGAGAGCTGACCCTGCTATCACTTTTATAACAGTGAAAGAAAACTAAGCCGTACTGATGAAAATTAGACCCAAGAGATGCAACCTGTACCAAGCATGAAATAATAGAAGTGTCTATTGGAACATTAAGTGATATTTCCTTGCCAAATTCCCATGTAGTGATTACATGCTTTCTCCCTACACTTATATTCTGTTAAACACCTGTTGCCTTTCTCCACAGAGCTGTCTGCATTTGGCAGGAGCCATGATTCCTATATGTACAATTGATTTAGCTAGACCCAGTTTGTTTTTTCTCATCTCTCTCAACTCTGCCTTTTGAAACAGATTTACTCCTCCCTCCTTGCTTGTCTCTCTGTGGCCCATTACCAGTGGCTTTCTCCTCCCTTAAGCCACTGAGACTCTCACATATCAAAGGACAGAATCAGCTCTGTTGTCCTTACGGAGCCTTTGCTATGTGCCCTCCTCTCCATTGTCTGCTCCTCCACCTCCCTCCCCGCCCGAGCAGTACAACTGTCTGATGTGTATCCTAGTTCATTTGCATGATATCGAAATAGCTTCTTTCATCCTATATCTATACTACTGCTGTGAAGGCAGGGGACTGGACTCAATGACCTTTCAAGGTCCCTTCCAGTTGTAGGAGATAGGCAATCTCCATAAATTTAAAATTGTTGATATATTTTTAAGGGTAGCTCCAGTCTTTGACTCTTTGGGCTGCTTACTTTGCCCCTGGCAGGTTTCTCTCTCTTTTGGGGCTCCGGGAGAGTCAAATATATGATGATAAACACCTTCCTGATAACAAAGGAAATTGTCCCCAGGTGAGCTCTCAACATGTAAACAAATAGGCTATTCAAAGGGACATTTGAAGCCACTGTACTCAACAAAGGAGTAGGATAGTATGTGACTCAGTAAGTGGAATGATTTTTGAGGTTACACTTTTGTGGAGAAAATTGGTTACAAACATTTTCCTCATCTCAATACATTCCCCATGGTTACTAAAACAATAAGTGAACAAACCCATGATGTTGAAATAGCGTTCACATGCCACACAAGTCAAGGTTCCTTTCTTAGAGAAAGAGCAAATGGAAGCGTCGCACTCACCGAATAGTCTCTTTTGGTTGTTGAAGGAGCTCACTCATTAAATGCAAAGTTGGCCTTTGGACAACAGATTTTCCTAGAGAATTCAGTAAATCTTAGTATCGGATTAAAACATAAGTGCCTGATCCAAAATCCATTGATGTCAATGGAAAAAACCTCACATTGGTTGCAAGCTTATGATCAGGCCCTTCGTTAAGGAATTGTGTGAGGGCCTGATGCAAAGCCAGCTAAAAATGTGAGTTTTCCCATTGAATTCCAGGAGCATGCCCATGGAGCAACTGCAGAGTTGGGCTCTGAAATCAAAATTCACTCCTGCGCAGAAAACACACAAGATTGATGTGCCACCTAAGACCTAAATACTTACGCAGGTACCTAAGTTTGAGCATACAAGTGCTCCTATGGAAATCAGCAGGATTGCTCACAGGCTGAATTGGGGCCTATGGACCAGATTTTTAAAGCTGTTTGGGTGCTCAATGATGCAGGTAGGCATGAAAGATCATCACTGAGCAACAGCATCATCGATTCAATGGGAGTTAGGTGCATATGCCCCTAGCACAGGGGTGGGGAACCCTTTTTGGGTAAGGGGTCACTGACCCACTGAAAAATCAGTCGAGGGCCACACACAAGTTAAAAAACCCTCACTGTGGCCCCTGTCTGAGAAGGGGAAAGACACTGCCCATATTCCCCTCACACACCAGAGCCTGGGGGGGGCCAGCATAGTAGATTTTGTGTGCTCCAGCCCCGTGGAGGGCAGCAGGAGGACTGGAGCACCAGCACAGGCTCCCTAAAGCTGGGGGAGGGCCCTGAGCCTTGGGGGCCGGATCCAAGCAAGCCAGGGGCCGCATCCAGCTCCCAGGCCTGAGGTTCCCCATCTCTGCCCTAAGCAAATGCTGTGTCTAGTACGTTAGTTGATCTGATGGTTCCTAAATCCATATTCAGCCTGATTTTCGGAGGCGCTGGCTCCCATGACTGTGTCGCTACATGTCTGTGAGTTGAGATCAGAATTTAGCACAGCATATTTAATATTCCTTTTTCTAAATACCTGTTTGTCCTGCTCAATACCTGAGAGAGAGAGAGAGAGAGAGAGAGAGAGAGATTTAAGCAGGAAATATGAGTGTAAGTGGTGTTCTCCTTCACATAGAGATTTGAGTTTCATATGCCAGCTTCCTGATCTTCTCCCCGCCTTTCATTTTTTGCCATTCATGCTAATGAACCTTGCGGTGCCAGGGAATCTCTTCATCTCCGTTTTCCAGAGAGCTGCATTGACAGACTATTGTCTGACATCTACTTCGTGGCCTTAAAAGTGTGAAATTGATCTTTCCTCTTTGTGGAGCCTTGAGCAAGCTGCGGGACTGTACTGGGCCAGACCCTTAGATGGTGGAAACTAGCAGAGCTGAGGAGGTAGGCCAGGAGTGGTTACAGACAAAGAGCCAAAATAGTGGTGGATACACCACAAAGAGCCGAGGGAAAGACACTGTTGAGAAAAAAAAACAAACAAACAACCACATCGCTGTCCCTTTAACAGCCATGTGTAGCCCATGCAGGCTTCTGTCGGCCGCAACGTCAGATCTTGCTGCCACAAGTGGCGCCCTGACCAGACAAGGAAAAAAGGTCAGAGCAGGGGAACGCAGAACAGCCGTGGGTGCGGGAGCTCAGGCGCGGGTGTGGGAGGCGCAATTTTTTCTTTGAAGAGCCACATGTGGCTCACAAGCCACAGGTTGGCCACCCCTGAGTTAGGCCATTATGTGTAATGATGATCTCAGAATAAAAAAAAACTACAACAGCTGCCTGCCCGACAATATGTTTTACCAAAAGAAAACATTGACGTAGAACACAGAGCCCGCATGAGCTCCCATGACTTCTTTCTAATAAGAGAACTAACACATCCTTTGTACTCAGGAATTTATAGCAACAATCGTACCACAGTAAGACCACCACGATAACAGTACAGCAGCATTGATCCAGAGAGTCCCCAAAGTGCTTTACAGACTGCAGTGAAGGGATTGCTTTGCCACTGCTGAAATGCATCCACCTCTGGGGAGGAAGACAGCAGCCATTCTATGCCATACTTGTCTAAACAATCATTCGTAGGGAGGGAAGGGAACTATTATAAGAAGCTCGAATGTGTCTAGCAAGGTTTGAATCAGACAAGATATCAGAACCAAGCCTCTCTTTAGCTTTGTAAAAAGCTCTCTGAGCTCTTCTCCTCCCCCCATCAAATGTCCCTCATGCCGTGCTGAGACACTGGTTCGCACTGTCACTTATGGACTCACCAGCGTTGCTTCTGGCAGCAGCAGGTGCTTCCAAGCAGATATCCCAGCCGGGCACTGACTAAGCATGCCCGCGTTTGTGAAATCACCGGCACTGCAGGCTGAAAGGACAGGGCTGCTCCTACAGATGCTCTCTCTCAATTTTGGAAGCTGCGAGTCTCCCAGAAGCTGAGAGCTGAGTCAGGTGTTTGCTTTCTTGCTGCACAAATGCTCAGATGACAGGAGCACTGCCCTCGCCTGACATTACCACCTAACCTATCCACGGTAGGGCTGAAGTCCTGCTCGCTGCAGGAGCTATGCACGGGAGAACAAAGCAAGGGCCTGATCCTTCCAGGTCCTGAGTGGGAGGTGTTTAACTGCCTCACTTCCTATTCATCTCAATGAGTGTCGAGTGCTGCCAGCAGGTGTTCACCAGTTGGCAGGGGAGCTGACAGCCTCCCCGGGCCCTGGGAAAGAAAGGGGAGCAGCTCCATGCCGTGGAAGGAGTGTAGCCTTGGGTGGAAGGGGCACAGTGGGGCAGCCAGCCCTCAGCACCACCCAAACCACAGCATTAATTCCTCCCCTCAGCCCTCAAAGCTGCACAGAGCATGCAGTATGGCACTCCAGCGGCAATTTAAAGGGCCCAGGGCTCCGGCCGCTGCAGCTGCCACGCAGTGTTCCCTGCAAGCTGAGCATTTGGACAGCCACCCAGGAAAGAGTCAAATGCCGCGCCGCTAATTAGCAGAGCACCCACAGTGCCCAAAGCCGTCACTATGTGTTTCTCCTAGTGGTACACATTCACTTATGCCTCAGTGCTTTCGTTCATTGAATTTCTTCTTCTCCTCAGGTTTCCTCTTCTCTTTCTATCCTTCCTCCCCAGTGTGATGCTAACGCGACAGACAAAGCTGACGGGCTGATGCTGGGTCATGACAACTAGAAGCCATCTCCCCGGGGCGGGTGGTTCCTGCCTGGTTCAAGCTGGCCGTCTCACAGTCCATGTATTTGTGGGGGCCCACCCAGAGAGAAGAATGGATCAGTCCGGTCATTGGCTGGCCATTGCTACCATTTCCTAGAGGGGCCGGTTCTTCTCTGAACAGTTTCTGGAATGCTTGCTGGAACGCGTTTCCTATGGGGCAGAGGTGGGGTCAGGGGCCGCTTTTGGGTCAGGGGCCGCTGACCACAGAAAAATCAGACCGGGGCCACATAAAATTGAAGAAAAAAAAAAAAGAGCCCCAACACCCCCCAACTGAGAAGGAGAAAGACACTCCCCACATTCCTGTCATACATCAGTGCCTAGAGGGGCCCAGGCTGGTAGATTTTGTGGGGCCCCCCCTACACGCTGGGGTGGGGCCAAAAATGAGGAGTTAAGTGTGTGGGAAGGAGCCGGGATGTGGGAAGTGGGCTTTGGATGTGCGGTCTGGGCAGGAAGGAAGGTGCAGGCATGAGTTGGGGGTTGATGGGGCTGAGCAGGTGGTAGGATGCAGGAGTGGAAGGGGAGGTGTGGGGTCTGGCTGGGAGAGGGCCGCAGGGCTAGAGCACCATCACCGGCTCCCTAATGCAGGAGGGGGGGATCCCAGAGCCTCCGGGGGCCAGATCCAAACATGCTGGGAGCCAAATCTGACCCCCGGGCTATAGGTACCTCACCTCTGCTATAGGGGATCGATACTGGATTTAGCTGGGTCCCCCAGTGTTAACACAATGCAGACACTTTTGACAAAGACATGCCACATGTTAGATTTGAACGTTTCCTCTAGCAACGGCTACAATATGTACAACCAAAGAAGTGTGTGTTTCAGTCTCTCTCTTCCGGATTCCTTCCCCTTTCCGGGTCAATGTTCCTGCCGATTTCAGCAAGTCCTGTCTTGCCTGGACAGTCCAGTTCATTACACATTGGTGACTTCCAGGCTACCAAAGCGTTCTAAGCGGCACTGCTCGGGCCTGCTTAGCTTCAGCTCCTCACAGCACTCTTCGTTTTTGAGAGAGCCGTAGTCGTCATGGAAATCAGGGTCTTTCCCGCTGAATCCCCTTCCGATTTTCCCCAGGGGGAGCTGCAAATGAAAGCAGAAGAAGCGGAGGACAATATTGGCATGGGGTGAAAGAGGCAGGATGCACACCAAGGCCCTGGAGCGAGGGGGGGCACCAGAGCGGTTTACTCAAGAACCGACCGGAAGCTCAGTCAAAATCCACTTTCAGTCAGAAGTTGGATTGTAACGACATCGTCGCTGCGGAGTTGCAGCCGTCAAGAGCTTCTGGATCCAAACGGACTCAGTATGTACATCGAAGGGTTGTTTTTCTAATTGCCAGCACTGAAAGCTCACTTTGGAATCTGAGGGTATGTGGACACTCAGGGGTGACTGGTGAGGGGTGACAAAGGGGTCACCAGCCACGTAACACCCCCCCAAGCTCGGGGATGAGCCAGGACAATCCCCCTCCATCTCAGACTCCACCTTGCTCTGCTCCTCCGGCCACGTCACTCCTCTTCCCGCCAGTGGGTGTGGGGGCGGTCCTGCCCCTCTCCCAGTGATGCACCAGGAGAGCAGAGTGGGCTGGGGTCATGTTGTTCCACTTCCCCCACCGCTGCCGGTGAGTGCGGGGTGTGTGTGTGGACCCCTGCTGCTGGTGCCAGGCCCCCACCCTCAGATGTCCAGGGATTCTGGCCCCACTGTCTGCTGGCTGGCCCCTTGCTCCTCCTACCCATGGCGCTTGGGAGGGCGTGTGGCCCCTTGCATCGCCCCACCAACACTGCAATTAAAAACCTGCAGCTGGCCCCTGCCAACTGACTTGGGCTCTGTAGAGACTTGCACAGGGCTCTTAATTGCGGAGTAGACACACCCCCGAGGGCAAGATCCTTGTCTGGTGTAAGCCAGCACCGCTCCACTGGAACCAAGGGAGCGACGCTGAGTTACACATGCTGAGGATCTGGCCCGGCCTGACACCTCCTATGAGTTCTGCCTCTTGCACCACTAGAGTTCATCAGGATTCAGTCATCAAAATGGCACGGACCTCTGTTGAGTCCCGAGACAGGGCCCAATCCAGCTCACTCCCCAGGAGCTGGATTGGCTGGGCTAGGAGGAGACGAGCCTGTGCGCTTGAGTCAGGCTAGCAGGGCTGCATTTGTGCTGAGCAAGAAAAAGCAAGTCATAAGCAGGAAAGTGACTCCCCATCTGGCTCGTCTTTGCCCCGCAGATCTGGCTCCCTGGTTTGATCTTACTCCCCTTGGCTCTCCAGAGGCAGCGTGAGTCAAGACGGCAGAGTTAGGCCTTCAGTTGGCAAGGCTGGCAGTTAGGAATTTACTAGCGCTGACTCAGCCCTGCCCAGGTCTGGCCGAGGGGGGGAGAAGAGGGGCCCAGCTCAGGGACAGAGGGGGTGGGGCCCCACCCGGGGTTTGCAGTGTGGAGCCAGCCCGGGGTTGGGGCTGCACAGGCCTCTTCTGGACTAGGGCTCCCTGGGCCCAGCTCATGGGATGGGGATAAGGGGGTACCATGCAGATCTCCCCGACTGGTGCTTCCTGGGCCCAGAGGGAGAAGGGGGGGAGGCGCACAAGCCTTCCCTGCTGGCACTCCCTGATCCAGGTGGGGATTGGGTGAAAGGGGGAGGTCTGCACAGGCTGGCCCTGGGGTGGGGGTGCGCGGTGGGTTCTGTGGGTGGCTGGCCCTGGTGATGCTCCTGTGGGGGGAGAGGGCTGCATCAGTGGGGTGGTGGGATGGGAGGGAAGGATTTTATCCAGGGAGGCCACCAGGCAAGATGGCTGAGCCCCATCCCCAGCTGGCCACGTCATTGGTGGTGCTGCTGCCCTCCGTGACCACTGTAGGATAGCTCTCTCCTGCACTTGCTGCCCACAGTGGTGACTGTGAGGACCACATCCCTCCTCTCTCTTCCCCCCTCCCTTTCTACGTTATGGAAAACAATCAGATTCCAGGCACGTCCCATTTTCCGGGCAGAACCAAACTCTGACTTTGCTTTGATAAGAGGAAGCTGCCTACCAAATGTGGTGGTCCTAGCTTTTACCATTTAGGAGGACTTCTTGAACAAACAGACTCACAGACGGACACACAGACAGACACACTAACTTCTAAAATATAGAGAGATTATACTTTTGTGCTTGTAAACTGGGCGAATCTAACCTCAAGTACTGAGCTACAGTAAACAGGGACGTTCCAGGGTGGCATTTTGATAGTTACTGTTCAGAGGGGATTCCTCCCACTTTAGAAAACAGCTTCTCTAATTGTAGCCTCACATTGAGGCTTGAAATATGTTTACACAGTTTGCATCCTGCGCTGTACTTCCAAACAACCATGGCGTGGCCTCCCTCAGGGACTACTCATTGTTCTCTGTTATTCCTAAGGAAGAGGATGGGGCAGTGTGGGGGAGGGGGAGAGGGCATGGTTTTAAATGGGTAGCAGGTTTGAAACTAATAAAAGAAAGTTCTTCTTCACACAGCGTGTAGTCAACCTGTGGAACTCCTTGCCAGAGGAGGCTGTGAAGGCTAGAAATATAATAGAGTTTAAAGAGAAGCTAGATAATTTCATGGAGGTTAGGTCCATAAAAGGCTATTAGCCAGGGGATAAAATGGTGTACTTGGCCTCTGTTTGTCAGAGGCTGGAGAGAGATGGCAGGAGACAAATCGCTTGATCATTGTCTTCGGTCCATCCTCTCTGGGGCACCTGGGGCTGGCCACTGTCAGCAGACAGGATACTGGGCTAGAAGGACCTTTGGTCTGACCCAGTACGGCCGTTCTTATGTTCCAAACCGGTTTTGAAATCCCCCAGTATTTCCCCTTTAATCCTAAAAACACGGAGCCAGTTCCTCTGTCGGTGTTAATCAGGACAGCATCAGAGGAAAGATTTTACTTTGGATCAGCTGCGATTCCAGCCCATGTGTCAGCATGATCCCTCCTTATAGCCACTGCCAGTCAATGGAGTTCCTAATACTGGCCAGTAAGGGTCGCTAGAAAGCAGCATAAAATACTAACCCTACAAAAGTGCTGCACCTGCCCTCCCTTGACATTTCTAGAGAAAGCTTTGAGTCTTTGGATGCATTGTGCTGGATGCCTCAGGCAGACAGCTGGCCCAGCATCTATCTGTGTCAGAGTATTTCTAAGGTTATTTTATTTAGAGTATTTCTAAGCTCACATACATAATTTTAAAATGAATGCGATTGATTATCTCATTAGCGCACATATGTCTCTTCTGGGTATTCACATCCCCAATTATCACGGAGATGAAATGACAACTCCGAGCAGAAAATCAGTCATTTCCAGCTGGGACAAGGTAATCTGGACTTGGTGATTAAACGGCCCATCCTGTACAAGTTATAATTGTCTTGTTATTGAGCCACTCGTCACAAATTCCAGGCTTAAGAATGCCAAGTTTCATTGGACGCAAAAAGGCTTTGCCGTGCAATTTAATTACCTTAAAGAATATGATTTATTGTCACCCATCTTGCATTATGCTGCTTAATAACTTTACTCACACACCCGGCTGATAATAGTCATTATCAGTGGGGGGAAAAAGGCAGAGAGGTCTATTAGCAAAGTCCTGCAGATCTGCAGATATCTACTTTATATCCACGGGTATCCGCGTCCCTGGGTGTGGATGCAGACATCTGCAGCTCGTTTTTGCAAACACGACTGCGGACACAGATACACATTTTTTATCTAGAACCCTGCAAATTTGTGGCTATCTACTTTATATCCGCAGGTATCCACTTCCGAGGATGGCGATGCAAAGAGCCGTGGCTCATTTTTTGCAGCGACAGATGCGGATACAAATTTTTATCTGCGCAAAGCTCTCTCTCCTAGGGTAGTTGAGAAGCATGCCGCCTGCCCAGTTTTTCACTTGTCTCTGTACAAGCCCCCACCGGCTGTGACAATGGGACTATAAAAGTCAAGAGATAAGAACCTCAAAGGGAAAACGGTAAATAACGCAAACAGACTTACCCTGCTGGCTTTGCATTTTAAGCTGGTCCCCTCTTCCTTGCTCTGCCTGGTAGCACTGGAGGAGCACCGCAGTGAGCCCTGTTTGATGGGAGGTGACGTTCCGTACCGCTCATTCTCTGGCGCACCTGTAGGGCTGAGCAAGGAACAGGCAGTCATCTCGCAGCGGTTGTTATCTGGAGTCGGTGAATGTAAGCCCTGGAATAAATGGCCTAGGGAGGTTGTGGAATCTCCATCACTAGAGATACTTAAGAGCAGGTTAGACAGCCCCGTCAGGGATGATCTACATGGTGCTTGGTCCTGCCGTGAGGGCAGGGGGGCTGGACCTCCCGAGGTCTCTTCCAGTTCTAGGATTCTATGATAGACCCATGTTCCCAAACTGTTCCAGGTTTGAAGAGGAGGGGGAAACCCCACCGGACCTAACAAGTGGTGGCTGGATTTTTTAAAAGGGCGTCTGCCCCTCACTGGCTCTTTAAGGTTAAAACCCAGCCCTGGGTGAGGGCTGAGAGCAAAGCCAGCAGCTGAGGCAGAGACTGCCAATTAGGGCCCAGCTGGGGGCTGTATAAATAAGGGCTCCTGGAGGGAGGAAGGGAGACACACTTGCTATAGCTGGGGAGCAAGAAGGACCTGGCTGCTAAGGAAGCTTAGAGGCATCCCAAGACAGAGCATGGCTGGGGAAAGGCAGGCAGGGCGGGGGAGCTCTGGTCTGACCTCACTGCCAGGCTTCAGAGCCTGAAGCAAGGCCTGAGAGTCGTAGGGCTGCAGGGGGGCAGCCAGGATCACAGAAGGCAGCAGGTTCACATCTCCTGGCCAATGATGAGTGGCCATTCCAGACTGCAGTTTGCCCCTGAGGTGAGGGGATAGATGACGACTAGCAGTGGGTCACTATGGCAAGGTGGGTGTGGGGCGAATTAGGGGTTCCCTGGGAGGGGAGGACCCCGGAGTGCAGGGACTGATGAACTCCCCCTGGAAGAGGGCCAAGAGACATTGGAGTGGGCACTGTCGGAGGGCAGTGTCCTGAAGAGCACTCCATGGTCGGGGAGTGATGTGGGTCTGGAATGGAGAGCATGGGGTGAGGACACGGGGAGACAACAGCCAGAGGGAGGCACCTGGTGGGCTTATGAGCTAATTCCCAGTGCTACCAGCAGGAGGTGCCGTGGCGGTGAGTGTCCGCCCCGTGACAGGGTGGCTCATCGGATGACCAATTATAATGTACATCCGTGAGTGCCAATGGAGCCTCAGTTACAGTGTACATGTTAGGGCAGGACTAACACAATCTCATTCTGCAAAAACAACGAGCAGTCCTGTAGCACCTTAGAGATTAACATATAAATCTGTATGTGTTAATCTCTAAGGTGCTACAGGACTGCTTGTTAAATATACAGCCTAACACAGCTCGCCCTGCGAGACATTCTGCAAAGTACATTGTGATGGGTGTGTGGACCAAGAAAGAATTTTTTCCCGTCTCAAGGTGTAGCGGTGCACACTTGGCCAAGCATGGGGCATTTCTGCCTTCCTCTCAAGTGTCAGCAACTGGTGACTGGCCAATAGTCTCCTGAGCCAACATGGTAAAGTCAGAGTCAGGCCCCAAACCAAACTTCAACAAACCCAGTGTGTGTGAGAGGCCAGATCCAGAGCCAAGTTGGCCCGTGTCTATAATGAGGGGAACAAAAACCCTAGCGCCACATCTCCGTAACCTTTCGGAAGCATTCTGCTCCATCTGTGGTCTGATTCAGACCGGTAAATTCCTGCATGCTAAAATAAAGAACTTCATGCACCTCACTGCACTGTGGGCTTTCCAGATGGATACAGATGAGGGTGGATTTGCCCAAGAAGATTTTACAGGGTACAGGGAGGAAGACACAACAGGCCTCCTTCCCATCTGCAAGGCGAGGCGGCTCTGGATGCTTCCACATGCACGTGCCAGGAAGGATGTAACTTCTTTGGCATGACCCATGTGCAGGTTGGAGCAGAGCCCTAATGCAGAGGCATGGATAGTGCCCACAGGGGCTACAGCTACACTATGGGCGTGTCTAGACTGGCAAGATTTTGCGCAAAAGCAGCTGCTTTTGCGCAAAAACTTGGCAGCTGTCTACACTGGCTGCTTGAATTTGCGCAAGAGCACTGACTTCGTAATGTACAAAATCAGTGTTTCTTGCGCAAATGCTTTTGTGCTCCCGCGTGGGAAAAAGCCCTCTTGCGCAAGAATACTTGCGCAAGAGGGCCAATGTAGACAGGGAAGAACTGTTTTGCGCAAAAAAGCCCCGATGGCTAAAATGGCGATCGGGGCTTTCTTCCGCAAAATCACATCTAGACTGGCCACGGATGCTTTTGCGCAAAAGCACTTTTTACGCAAAAGCATTTGTGCCCATCTAAATGCGCTTTTGCAGAAATACTTTTAACGGAAAAACTTTTCCGTTAAAAGTATTTTTGCAAAATCATGCTAGTCTAGACGCAGCCTATGAGTTTTGCCACAAGAGCCTATGCAAATGAAGCACAGATTTGCATTTTCTTGCACTTCATTTGCATAATCCGTTTTTTTGGGGTGGGGTTTTTGTGCAAAAACAAGCACTGTGGACATTTCTTTTTTGCACAAAACCCCCTTTTCCTGCAAGATCCTTATGCCTCAAAAAAGGAGATATATTGATCTTGCAGAAAAAGGGGTTTTTGCACAAAAAGGAAACATTCACACTGCTTGTTTTTGCACAAAAATGGATTGGAAGAGATTGTGCAAATGAAGCACGAGAAAATGCTAATCTGTGCTTCATTTGCATACGCTCTTGTGGCAAAACTCATAGGCTATGTCTACACTGTCACGATCTTGCGCCAGAGATATGCAAAGGAGGCTAAGCGTGGAATATCGCCGAGCCTCATTTGCATATATAATGAGCCTCCATTTTTGCTGTCTACACTGCCCCTTCTTGCGCAAGAAAAGCCCTCTTGCGCAATGCCGTTATGCCTGAAAATAATCAGCGTAGCAGCATTGCGCAAGAGGGTTTTTCTTGTGCAAGAAAGGGCAGTATAGACAGCTCCTTTTGGCGCAAGAGTCTCTTTCGCAAAATGGCACTTCAGATATGCAAATGAGGCTCAGCGATATTCCACGCTTAGCCTCATTTGCATATCTTTGGTGCAAGATCGCGACAGTGTAGACATAGCCAAAGTGTAGCCATAGCCAAGGATGACCTCAAGAGGAGAGCTGAGTGCTACACAAAGCGGGGGTAGGTGCTGGTCTGGACAGCAGGCCCTGCTTTGGCGCAAAGTTCTGTTCCAAAGGAGAAATTGCTTTGGCTTGATTCTCGGATCGCTTTCCCGGCCTCCATTCTATGCTGGGCCTCAGTCCCCCATAGCCAGATTTTCCTCCCGCTTTGTGATGCTCGGTGGTGCTGACCCGGCATCTGAAGGAAATCTTGTTGCTACTCCTCCGCTAGCTTGTGGAACCCGGCCTCCAAGCCAGTCCCAGCAGCTGCCTCTCTTGTGCGCCTTCGTGGACAGGCCCCTTTTCCTTCACAAGAGTCGTTCGATTTCACAAGCCAAGCTCCTTGGGCTGTCTGTGGGCTGGGCTCCATTCTCATGCGACATGGGGCCAGGATGGGCCAGCCTTTCCACTGGCTAGGCACATGTTCCAATTCTGCACAACAAGTCCAGTACCTCACTAGCCTTTCCTTCTCCTCCTCCTCCTGCTGGTTCTTTACCAGGTCTCCCTGGCTGGCTGCTATTCCACTCTTATTCCCCCTCAGCAGGGGGAGAAACCTCCACAGACCACTCCTGGTTCCTCTAGTGGGAAAAGCGGATTCAGGATGATGCCTCCTGGTTCCCCTCAGGCACGACCTTAATGGGCTCATATCCTGCTTCACCCCTCAACAGGGATAGCTTGGAGAGAGGCAGAGCCATCTTCCTCACCTGAGGGGACTATCTCTGGAAATGGGGCATGAGACGCATTTTCCAGACACATTCCGGCCCCGGCCCTATTCACCCCCCACAACTCCAAAGACCCAGCAACAGCGTTCCCTGTAAGCGATGTACTTGTGTGGCTGCTCAGGAGAGATTCAAATGCCACCCAGCTGGTTAGCCGAGCACCCACAGCTAGGCTTTTGTTTCTACTGGTGGTGCACATTCTTGCATGCCTCAGTGCATGTAACAAAATTCATTCTGCACAGGGATGGAGAAGATGAGAGGGAACATTGCCCTGCAAGACAGTAGCACTTTCAAAGTTACTACTGGAACTTTGGCTTTGAACAGCTGACTGAGCTATGAAACCCTCCCCATCTCATGAGTCACACCCCACGTCTGCCTGGTATCTCTGAGCAGCGGGTTTTGATGCCATGAGAGTGGACTGGGCCTTTGCCATTCTGTCTGCTGCTGCTTCCCATCATGACAGTCAAGAAAGCGGTAATCAGGGCAGGCAAAAATAGCGCTTTCTGGTGGATGGATTTCGCAGTGGGCGGTGCTGAGATTCCCAGCGCAAAGCCTTCTGCTATCAACACATCTAATGACGTGGACAGCCCTGACAACTCAAAAGCTGTAGGGCTCCCAATTTGCTTGGGCGCATGGCGTGAGTGTGTGTGTGCGCGCGTGTGTGTGTGCAAACAAAAGCATAATGTTTGCAACGTGAGCCATCTGGTTTGGGCAAGGCAGCTAACCAGAGCCATCTGTACCATCAGGCCTGCTGAAGCTTCAATCTCTCTTGCCCGAGCTGGAAATGGGCAGATTTCCCCTCCCATCTCTCAACTGGATACTTTGCATCCGTCCTGTCTGGGGGCACAGAGGTCCCCTGCAGTGAAGGAGTGCTATGTACACCATGCAGAGTGGTGATGCAGGGGCCTATGCGCAAGGCAACAGAAGCCCAGCTCAGCCTGCTATACAAAGTTGTTCTTAAAAGTCAGCAAAAAGGCGAGAGAAACAGCCTGCTGCTAACAGTGTTGTTTAGGGTTACCCCAGCTGTGCAAATGGGTCTGCCAGGCACCGGGTAAAGTCCTGAGGTGGCACGATGAGTGGAAAGATTCTAGAAACAGGTGGGAAATCAGTGGAATGCCTTTCCAGTGGTCAATGTTAATGGGAGGGGATTGCCAGCCCGTCTTGGGCACTGTTGATCTGAGGGGGGATACCTGGATTGCAAAGAAAGAGCTTCACCCCAAT